TTCATCGCTGCTTGCAGCTTTAATTTAAAATGTAATTTATTCCTGTTATGGCAAAGCAAATTTTTCAGCATCCATTACTCCAGCTTTCAGTGTTACATTGTCCTTCAGAAATCATTCTAATATGCTGAGTCGCAGTTATGCTGCTTAATATTTTTGTGAAAAAAATGTGGATTGTTCAGGCCAATTCACACTGTACCGACAGACGCGTTCTTTGGGTTTAGCCAGATATGTGTGTTAGCCCTGTCTGTTGCCATGCATCAGTGCTGGTTTTCACCAATTAAACATGTTGGAATCTACATTTGTAGGGTCTTGGAATGTCTGAGAAGTGGCATACTGTCATCTGGACATTGGTTTATGTCTATTGGTATGGTGTGGATTAGCCTTTAGATGAATAGAAAAAGTGCTACCAATATTCCTTGTATAAATCAACCATCTGAAATGCTACAAGTGATGTACAGTATGAAGAAAATGCATATTAATTTTGAAATTTGTTAAAGATTATATTTAACAGTTATTAAATAATAATTTTTGTTTTTAAAAATCAATATTGAGTGTTAGAGAATGGCAGAAGTGATCTAAATGTATAAATAGGCGAGGTTAGCTTGCACAATTAAATATGAAATATCAACAAAATACAGGTACACTTAAAAGAAAAAACAAAATCTAATACAGTATTAACAGATAACATGGTGCGGATATATAGTCCCTCCCTACAAATTATTTAGTTTACTTTGCTTATTATGGAGACTCTAAAATTGAAAGGATAGGAGATGGATTTAATAAGTGCATGTGCTTCTACCAGTCACTGTTAATCTGTATCTCTTATCTCAGGTGGGTGGTCACACCATGCTGCCCATCCGCTGGATGCCCCCAGAGAGCATCATGTACAGGAGATTCACCACAGAGAGTGACGTGTGGAGTTTGGGTGTGGTCCTCTGGGAAATATTCACATACGGCAAGCAACCCTGGTACCAGCTTTCAAACAATGAGGTAAGACACATCAGTCATAACCAGTCATACCTAACGTGTATCTCAAGTAGGAATGGAAGTCCTCAAGTAATATATACCAGTTACTCACAGAGTGATTAGTTCGTCCTCAAAAGCACTGTATCACTGTACCTTGTAAAAATGACAGACTAGTTTCTAGGCAGACTGATGCACCCAGTGGAGCCTGTGTTCAGTTGTAGTTCTGGACCATGTTTGTGCTGCCTCCTGCAGGTGATCGAGTGTATCACACAGGGTCGGGTGTTGCAGAGACCTCGTACTTGCCCCAAAGAGGTGTATGACCTGATGCTGGGCTGCTGGCAGAGGGAGCCCTACATGAGACTCAACATCAAAGAAATCCACAACCTGCTCCAGAGCCTGGCCAAGGCCTCGCCTGTTTACTTGGACATCCTGGGCTGATCCGTTTGCCAGTATGGGTGTGTAATTGTTAGTAAGAAAAAGTGTGTGGTATAAAAGGAGTTAGGGATGGTTTTGATTAGGATGAGTTGATTGAATATAGATGTGTGTGTGTGTGTGTTCATAAAAATGGCTTGTGCTTCAGCACTCTAACCACAAGGACTAAAAGGCCTTAAAGTTGACTGTGTGCATTGCTTTGAGTTTTCCCACATCTGGACATGTCCATCTATTGTGCATCAATATGTTTTCTAAAAACCCCAAATAGTCTACAAACAGAAACATCTGATTGTTGTAAATATGCGTCAGAGACAATGCAGACCTTTTGTTTAACAACCTTTTTGAAAAAGGTAATTTGGTTTAGGGAAGTTTATATTTGTTTTTCTCTTACCATTTTATTTATCGAGATGGACAAAATTCAGACTTGATGAGGACCCAGTCATTAGCACAACGCTGTCAACGCCCCGCAATACTATTCATATCTATCGAGTAACAATCATGGAAACTGCCAGATTCATGTTTCATTTGAAGTTTTTTTTAACACATCTGATCTAAGTTTAGACTTTTCTGTGCCAAGTTTTGATGTCTATAATGCTGAGGTCGATGAAAGGCGTTTTTGGACATCTCTGTGCACCCCATCTTACTCAGCGCGAACTTCGTTATAGAAGCACAGCGACAAAGACGCCTCCAGTTTTTTTTTTTTTTCTTCGGAAGAGGCTTGAGGTTGGACAGAGTGTTTGGAGTGATCACAGAGACAAAGTCACCAGCAGTGGCACTTAGATATTTCCTCAGACTTTGTTTGGCTCCCCAGCTATAGTTTTGTTTCAAAGGGCACTTGTCTCTCTAACTGAGGTTCGAAGAACAATGGGAAGATGCTGTTCTTGTGTCAATGGTAACGGTCTCATTTTTTTTTTACGTTATGGTGCTTACACACTAGAAAACATTTTGACGGAACACTTGATGGATAGAAATCTGCAAGATTGTGTATCTGAGGGTGTGGAAAGAGCCATTCATCCTGGATATTTCCCTCACTTTGGCCCTAGAGGCTGGGATAGGTTCCAGCATCCCTGCGACCCTACATCGGACAAGCAGTTTTGGATTATGGATGGATGGAAAGAGCCAGGGCTGTTTGAAATAAAGCAGAAATACAGCCAATTGGATTTCTGAAAGCACAATTGGATCCGCCTCCCTGGGATTCTCAGTAGTCAACAGATCCCTGTGACCGTGCATTACAGCCAAAGTACAAATTCCCTCCACTTTTGGTCACAGAACGGAGCATCGAAATCAACAAATTCCCAGCATTCTCCGACGTAGCGTGAACTAGTGTGTAGGCACCCTTAATCGTCATCATGTTGCAGTTTGATGGACTTTGCCTTTGCGAAGACTGAAGATTTCTTTCAGACCTGTTCCTGAGGAGTATATCCATAGATGTTGTTCATAACACAACAGACCTGCCTGATCAGTTGGAGTTGATTGCTCTCGAATTATTCATTATTATCTGTTTATGTATCAACTGCAAAATAACTCCTAAATAATATGTGTATGTGATAATCTATGATCGATTTGTTTTCGATGTATTGTGGGCCGTTTCAAAGCGATGGGCACTGTGAAGTGAATGTTCATGTGAGAATAAACGAGTCGGACTGTCCCTGAGGTCACGACAGGAAGACCCTATGAAGGGACCGTCCAGATTCAACCTGTGTTTCAAGCCCACTAAACAAGTTACCAGAGGAGGACGACTGACAACCAACAGGTTTAAATAGACTACAATGTACTGAATGACAAATAAAATTGTCATTACACTATACAGTGCATTCAGACAGTATTCAGATCCCTTAATTTTTGCCACATTTTATGTTGTAGCCCTATGATAAAATGTATTTTTTTCCACATCAGTCTACTCTCCTTACGCCATGACAAAGCAAAAACAAATCTGTGAAAACTGCAAATTTATTAAAAGAAAAAACACAAATATCTCAATAACTTAAGTATTCAGACCCTTAACTCAGTACTTAGTTGAAGCACCTGTGACAGCAATTACTTCCTCAAGTCTTTTTGGATAAAGTGTAGCAAGCTTTGTGACCTAATATGGGGATTATCTGCCATTCTTCTCTGCAGATCCTTTCAATCTGTCAGGTTGGATGAGAACCATTGGTGGACAGAGATTTTTATGTTTGGGTACAAGCCTGAGCTCTGGCTTGGTCACTCGAGAATATTCATAGAGTCGTCGCTAAACTACTCCTGCATTATCTTGGTTGAGTGCTTAGAGTCATTGTCCTGTCTGACACGACTTAACAAAGAATGTGAATAATTAAGTCGATGTGTTATTTCTGTTCACAAATTTGGTTTTTGCTTCATTATGGGGCATGATTTACACACTAAACCAGTGATGGGCAAACTTGGCCCTTCCAGGCCACTTTCCTTCAGAGGTTAGCTCCAACTCTAATCAAACACACCTGAACCAGCTAATCATTGTGACACCGGCCCTCCAGGACCGAGTTTGGGCACCCCTGCACTAAACCGATGTAAGAGTGGATGAAAGCGACTGTTGTTGCCTCGTGCCGCTTGCGTTTGGGCCAAAGTTGCATTTGAACACACTACAAAGACTACAATCAACGGCCAACTAGCATGTAGTCTACCTTTGTCTGTGGATATACAAAAAAAGTAAGCAAATCAGCGGTTGATCAATTAATTGGCCTTCACTTTCTTCATTCTAAACAGCCATGTCGTTATGAAAGCGCAAGGCCCTTAAATACTTTGCACAACCCACGTGATGGTTCTGTTATGTGGTAAGGAGTTTAGATTGGTGAGGTGAAAAATGTAAGCATTTTATTATGAAGGTGAGGTCACAATTACCGTTCCGCAAATTTTCACAGGTGAAATCCAGTCATTTTTACAAACATGAAGAAATTAAGGAGTCTGAATACTTTCTGAATCCACTGTAATAATTTCTATAGTGTTGTTTGCTGACCAAGCATCACAATTACTGTTGTTCATACTTAGGGCTTACTTGAATATTATACGCAGTACATATTCAATTCAGTTGTATCTGTAAAACCAGACTACCTTTCAATGAAATGTCAAAATGTCGAAATGTCGTCAACCTGACTATCATTACTGTTGACTAACTCCAGGGCTACAGTATTCGACTTGTCCTCCTCTGCCAGAGTAAATGTTTTTTTTCTCAATTCCGATCGACGGGGCTCCTCGTGGACCCCAGCAACACATTTTGCACCGACTGACTGATTCTTCGGGGTGTGAAGTACCAGAGATGTGTTGCTTTGAAAGCATCTGTATATATGCAATTAGACTGTAAATATACATGAGCAGGATCAATCATTCTTTGTACACTGATGTCAAATTCTTTCCAAACAGTACATTGGCAGGACCTACTTTTAACAGCCGACTTTACCTGACATCATGAGTTGTCGAACAGCGTCCAATCGAGTCAAGTGTCGGTCATTATGCTCATGATCGTTTTGAGCAGTGACTTATGACTTAGAGCTTTGCACTTTCTTTATAGATGTACTGCTCATATTTTTGTAGTTTTCACCCTACAATTGTAAGCACTGCAAAAAAAAAAAGAAAGAAAAAAGGGAAAAGACAATGCGCTGAAAGAGGTTATTTACATTGAATCTGATTATTTGCTAATGTTACAGATATCAAAGAAATGTATTCAGTCAGTTACACTAAACAATTTTTCTTGTGTTGTGGCAGACTGACTGTGAAGACTTTATTGAACAAACATGGCATTTTCTTAGTTTTTTTTTTTTTTGCTATACAGATTTCTGTGTGTTCTAATAGCCGGCCAGCCTGTACTTTATAATCCATTCTGTACAGTTCTAATAGTTGTCTATATAAATAGTATGTTCTCTCTATATATTCTGTTTCAAACAGGCACCACGTCAAATGTGAATTGTAAAGGGAAGAAAAACATGTCTAATGGGCCTCCGGCAATATGTGAGTGTAAATACAGTTTATTTTGCGTGACAAAGTATAATTTTTTTTCCCTGTGGTTGTTCATAATAAAAGTACAATTTGATTTTTTTTTTTAATATCTGTAATTGATCAACTAGCCTTTTCCCGTGTAGTAAACAATTTGATGTTACTGATGCTTACTGCACCCTTTTTTTTAAATTGAGGGTTGATTCACGTCCAGGGGGAAAGAGCCAAGAGAACCCCCATCCTCATTTGATTTCTGGAAAGCTCTTAACATTGTATATGAATGAAGAACTGTGACTGAGTACTGGAACACTGTTTATGCATTATTTTGTAAGCCAAGATTTTATGCTCTGTCGGGTGAATCTCAATTAAAGTGTCGAGAAATGTCCCGGTCAGCCCAAAAGAGAAACAATACATGAAAAGATAATAAGCCTAAGTTAAGGTAAATTAAGCTTTTTTATATATATATATATATATATATATTGGGATAAAATATACCCTGGACATTTCTTTGTGAAATGCACTCATTTAGGCAACTGGAATTAAACATGTGTTTCCATTTCTTTTATTTGTTTAGCTGGATCACTGGTTGTGAGTGAATGTGTGCGTGTATGAGCGTGTGCTCCCGGGAGACTCAATCTCTCACGGCTTTAGGTGTCAGTACTCTATGCTTGTGCATCCTGTGAGAAGCTTCTCTGCAGTCAGTGGAAATGTTCCTTGTAATACTGTGCATTTAATAAAAGTGGTATGTCTTACTACATTGTGTATAATGTTGCAAATTTTATTAATAACTAACAACTATGCAGATACAAATATAAAGAGAGAAATAGACACACATGCACAACCACACAAACGTGTGTGTATATCTATCTTTATATCTATACATACATACACACACACATATATAAACCAGTCTGGTTTCAGAAGTTGACATTCATCTGAGACTGCCTTGCTCTTAGTTGTTGAAGCCCTAAGACTGGCAAGAGCGGATTCCAAATCTTCAATACGTATCTTGCTAGATCTGTCCACTGCTTTTGACACGGTTAACCACCAGATCCTCCTGTCAACCCTATTGGCAAAAGGCATCTCAGGAACCGCACTCTAGTGGTTTGAATCTTACCTCTCCGATAGGTCCTTCAAGGTATCTTGGAGAGGTGAGGTGTCCAAGTCGCAACATCTAACTACTGGGGTGCCTCAGGGCTCAGTTCTTGGACCTCTTCTCTTCTCTGTCTACATGGCATCACTAGGTTCTGTCATTCAGAAACATGGCTTTTCATATCACTGCTATGCTGATGACACACAACTCTACCTCTCATTCCATCCTGATGATCCGACGATAGCTGCTCGCATCTCAACTTGTCTAACACATTTATTGCTGGATGAAGGACCATCACCTTTAACTCAACCTTGCCAAGACAGAACCGCTTGTGGTTCTAACAAACCCATCACTTCATCACAATTTCACCATCCAGTTAGGCACATCAACCATAACTCCTTCAAAAACTGCCAGAAACCTTGAAGTTGTGATTGATGATCAGCTGACTTTCTCAAGACCACATTGCTAATACTACCCGGTCCTGCAGATTGCTTTATTCAACATCAGGAAGATCATGCCCTTTCTTTCAGAACATGCTTCACAACTCCTTGTTCAAGCTCTTGTTCTGTCCAGGCTGGACTATTGCAGCCAGTTCTATAGAACCTTTACAATTAATCCAGAACAGCAAGATTAATTTTTAATGAGCCGAAAAGAATGCAAGTCACACCTCTGTTTATCAATTTGCACTGGTTACCAATAGCTGCTCGCATAAAATTCAAGGCATTAATGTTTGCCTACAAAACCACCACTGGCTCTGCTCCCCTTTACCTAAATTCATTTCTTCAGACTTATGTGCCCTCTAGAAGCTTGCATTCTGCAAGTGAACGGTGCTTTATTGTGCCATCCGAAAGAAGCACAAAATCCCTTTCACTGACTTTTACATTAAATGTTCCCTCCTTGTGGAATGACCTGCCCAAATCAGTCCGAGCATCTTCAAGAATCCGCTAAAACACACCTCTTGCATCTTTATTTGACCATCTAACTCTAGCACTCTCTATTCTAATTCTATTCCTTAAAAAAACTTGCCCCTTTTAGACTTCCACTCTATTCATTTACTAACTGCTTGTTTTTATTTTTATTTTATTGTTTGTCTTTATTTAAAAAAAAAAGATATAAAGATAGATAGATATACACACACATATGTTTGTGTGGTTGTGCATGTGTGTCTATTTCTCTCTCTTTATATTTGTATTTGTGTAGTTGTTAGAATTTAAAATTATTATTTATTCCTGTAATGGCAAGGCTGAATTTTCAGCAGCCATTACTGCAGTTCTCAGTGTCACATGATTTTGCAGAAATCTTTACTGTCAGTTATGATTTAATTAAATGCATCCTTAAAAAAAATAAATCACTGACCATAAACTCCTAAACTGTAGCATATAGTATATGCATAATCTTTGTTTTTTGGTATATTTAAACAAAAATATTAATCCTTCATGTGAAAGCAGTGATTTATTGGCCTGTGGCTATAAAATAAAATTATGCATTCATAATTTGTCACAACAATGTAGCAAAATAAACTCTTGTTTACTATTTACTACTTTCAAGAACTTAACTACTTATTTTTCTCCATTCTATTTTTATGACAGTGAAGACATTTATTTTTTTTTTGAATGATTTGCATTATGTGCTTGCTCACAAAGGGTTATTTTGGTAGAAAGGCCACTTCATGTATGGCATGAAAAGAATCCCAAGGCTAATATTTAGGTCTAACAATAGCCGGTGAAGTGAAGGGCCAGCTGCTCCAAACCATGGCACAATTCACATAGACAATCTGTAGTAGTTGGCACTACATTTTTTTTGTGGCAAAGTGCCCATGCCTTGCAGGTAAACAGTGAAAATGGCATCAGGTATCTTGAGGCTTGAGGGCTAAAGTACAGGTGCATCTCAATAAATTAGAATGTCATGGAAAAGTTCATTTATTTCAGTAATTCAACTCAAATTGTGAAACTCGTGTATTAAATAAATTCAATGCACACAGACTGAAGTAGTTTAAGTCTTTGGTTCTTTTAATTGTGATGATTTTGGCTCACATTTAACAAAAACCCACCAATTCACTATCTCAACAAATTAGAATACTTCATAAGACCAATAAAAAAAACATTTTTAGTGAATTGTTGGCCTTCTGGAAAGTATGTTCATTTACTGTGCATGTACTCGGTATACTTGGTAGGGGCTCCTTTTGCTTTAATTACTGCCTCAATTCGGCGTGGCATGGAGGTGATCAGTTTGTGGCACTGCTGAGGTGGTATGGAAGCCAGGTTTCTTTGACAGTGGCCTTCAGCTCATCTGCATTTGTTGGTCTCTTGTTTCTCATTTTCCTCTTGACAATACACCATAGATTCTCTATGGGGTTCAGGGCTGGTGAGTTTGCTGGCCAGTCAAGCACACCAACACCATGATCATTTAACCAACTTTTGGTGCTTTTAGCAGTGTGGGCAGGTGCCAAATCCTGCTGGAAAATGAAATCACCATATTCTAATTTGTTGAGATAGTGAATTGGTGGGTTTTTGTTAAATGTGAGCCAAAATCATCACAATTAAAAGAACCAAAGACTTAAGCTACTTCAGTCTGTGTGCATTGAATTTATTTAATACACGAGTTTAACAATTTGAGTTGAATTACTGAAATAAATGAACTTTTCCACGACATTCTAATTTATTGAGATGCACCTGTATTAGCTGTGTTTGTGATATTGCCTGTGATGGACACAGTATTATTTTTCTTCTTTTAAAGCAGCAGCTTAATATTATAAATCCAAAAATGAAAACTGCTGAAAATGTAAGCAACCTATGGCCATCCAAGATGTAAATGAATTTGTTTCTACAGAATAGATTTTAAGAAATCTAGCATTACATCACTTGCTCACCAATGAATCCTCTGCAGTGAATAAGTGCCGTCATCACAATAATTCACAAGTAATCACACGATTCCAGTCCATCAATTAATGTCTTGTGAAGCAAAAAGCTGCATGTTTGTAATAACTTCTGGTCAAAATGCCAGTCCATAATAACGCTTCCTTCCAGTGAAAAAGTCCATGCCCGGTTGTCCTGTCAAAAGCCACAGACATATTTTTCTAGAATTGTTTTCACTTGTAAACGGTGCTTGATCTGTGCATATTTCTCTTATGATTCAGACAAGACCAATTTTTCACTGGAGAAAGCAATATTATGGACAATGCTGGGTAGTAACTGATTACATGTAATCTGGATAAAGTACTTGTAATTAGATTACATTTTAACACTGAATCAGACTAGTTACTTTTTTATCGATTACATATTTACACAATTTACAAAAATCCTTTCAATTTTAAGAGTGTTTTCTCGACATTTTAACTCTGCATCAACTACTGATGAACACATTCATTTTTATTTGAATTATCCCTCAGTGGGTTATTTAACAATGTATTACTGTGTCTTTGGAAGGCCTTTGCTTTCCAATACATTAAAATGCACAAATTCACATTATATGTTATTAACGGTACATGCAATGCAGGGATTCCCAAACTTTTTGTCAGCCAAATCTCTTTCATGCCAGTTTGGGAAAACTTCAAGTAATGTTTAATTCATTTCATGTTAAGAACAACGAATTGACTATATTTTCTTTCTCCTTGGATTTTTTATATCAGTATGGTACAAGATTATCCTAATATAAATCAATGTGATAAAATTAGTAAGTAATCTTCCCAGCACTGATTATGGATAGAGGACTCTTATATTTTGGCCAGAAGCAACAGTTTGAAGTTAAAAATGTCTTGATGGATTTATGACAAACACAACTTTTTTTCTTCACAAGACATTAATTGACAGACTGGAGTTGTGTAGATTACATGTGGATTATTGTGATATTTTTATCAGCTCTGATTCTGATGGCACCCATTCACTGCAGAGGATTCACTGGTGAGCAAGTGATGTAATGCTAGATTTCTCAAAATCAGTTTGGAATAAACAAACTCATTTACACCTTGGATGGTCTGAGGGTGAGCACATTTTTATTTCTGGGTAAACTAGTCTTTAGAGTACTTTCCACTATTCAGTCCAATATGTCAACTTCTGACATTCACTGGTTCAACCAATGGTCTGAGTTTAGGGCAGGACTACCCGTTTGTCCAAAAAAGGAAGAGCATCCCAATTTGCATACTTGTGCCCTATTCTGCTATTTTATATTATGAAAAGTTTGCGTAGTGTATTAACTCTAAAAATTCCAATAAGTGCACTTAATATACCACCAGATGATGCACTTATTTAAAAAATGAAGAAACCCTTTAAAACACTTATGCAAACACACTGCAACACCCATGGTGGTAAATTTTGTGTGGGCAAGCATCAAGAATCTAGTTCTTTTCATTCTATTTATGGCACAGACTAAAAAAGAAGCAGATTTTTTCAAAACCTTATGTGTGTAGCAAAACTTTTGTATGAATGGGAAGTAAGGTAAGTTTCTAAATAGGTTGATGTGACTAGTATTCAGACCACAGTCACAGAGAGTAAGAGGATGGGGTTTGGTTTTCATCAAAAGCTGTGCGCCGTTTTTATTGTAGTATTCTAAATTTACATTAAAAAAAAGAAAGTCTGCCCATGTCCTAGATCCATTATGAAAGTTAACGCACAAATTCCATATACATCTCATTGTATTTTACATAGAGGATAAGAGTATAGGCATGGAGGTGGCATGATCAATCACAAAGCTTAAAAGAACCAAAAAAAAAAACAACCCTGAATAAATAAGGTGCTGTCTATTAGCAGAGAGTATGTAAGCATGTCACTCTTTTGAGAAGTTTAACATAAAGCCCGTAGCATGGCAAATCTCGCACCCTCCTTTTACCAATGAAGAGAGAGGGGTTCCAAGCGTACTAAAGCAGAAATGTGAGGAGTAGAGTGAGATGACAATGGAGAGCCTAACTTGTCTGTACAGGTGCATAAGTTAGAGAGTACATCTGGTGGTTACACAGACACTAAGACATCGACGTCTAGTTAAAATGGTATAAAGCAGGTTATCTTTTGTCGATACCTGTATATTCTTTTTCTTGTAGGCAACAAGACATTTTTAAGGTGTTAATTTGCCTCGGCCAATTAGGCCAGACCATTTGAACGTCCAATAGAGCACAACAGTACGGTTTTGAAAGTAAAAATCCCATTTACTTACTCCATAGAGAAACCGGTTTTTAACGTGAAAACCTCTGAAAAAGATGAGCTGAGTTTCAATGTCATTTAAACCCCCCCCCCCACTCTGAGGAACTACACTACACATAATTCCAGAGCTCCACCAATCAGAGACTTTGCTGTTATCATGGAAACAAAAATCGCAGCGAGAGTTCAGTAACGACTACCTACTCTCATTAAGCACTGTGAATTACAAACAAGTAAATGCTTGTTCACACCAAAACGAATATTTGTTGGGCCAATTTGATGCGATAAAATGTTTACTTTTAAATCAACAGCTGTTAATGTGTCTGTTCAGACCAACATGAACCTTCGTACACCATCAATGCGACAATTTGTTTATTTTTACGGAAAGGTGTTCTATTCTTTTTCCATTGCACTGCGAAGAAAACTGGCCAACCAATAAGATTCTCACATGTGATAACATGTCCAGAGCCACTACTGTTACAGTTTGAATTAGCATTTTTATTCAGCCTATCCTCCATTTTTATGCATTGGTCCAAACAGACAAATTCATATGCAAAAATCGAACCAAATTTGTGGCAAATTCTTGGTAACAGTATTTGAATCTCCTCAAACTTCCAAACTACTTCTATATGTTAAATTACAGTAGTTAGCATTTGAAGTGGATCAAAACCTAAAACCAAAAAGCGTTCTTGTCTTAAGACAACTTTGATTAACTTTTTTGATCCACCAAATGTTGACTGTGTGTTGCAATATACAAATACACAATGTTTTTATCCTTATAAGGACAAATAAGTCAGTAATTGTAGTTTAATCCATCAAGGTATGCAACCTTGTACCTTTATGTTTTCCATACCTTTTTATTTTGAAAAACAAATACAATTTGCATATGGTGCGTTGTAATTTATCTTGGAACTGGTCAGTTTAGTTATCCTTATGGAGAAAATGAATGGGAAAGACACTGTCGCTGATAAAGTGTGCGGTCACTGTTGTGCTCTACAGCGTCACAGATGAGGAGGGGCAGATTGGAGCTGAGTGACATAAGCATTTAGCACTTGCGAAGCTACTGCAGGTTTCAATTTTGCTGTTGATTTCCATATTAAACAAAAAGAAAAGTAAAATCCTAAATTTGTAGATATTTCACCCATTTCAAATGGGCTATGTTCAAGTAACCCTGGGAAAAAAAGTTAAAGAAAGCTTTGGGATATTTTGTCTTTTTAATGACAAGGTCATTAAAAATCATGCACGCTGCAAATAACCTCATGCAGTAGTTATGGTAAACCATCCAAGCACTTTTTATTCATTAATATTCATAAATACACACAGCAGCTTCATTAGAGAAGGTCTCTTGTTTCCTCTTCAGTTTTTGAATGTGGAGTATTTATAAGGAGAGCCTTTTGCAAGACACAGGAAGCAGTGGTCTGCCACAGATACCTACGCTCACCTGCTAAAGGAAAAAAATTAGTTATGTGGAATTGATTATCAACTTATATATATTTATTTATATATTTATATTTCTTATTTTCTCTCTCTCTCTCTCGTTCCATTTATCTGTCTCTCGGTTTCTCTCACACGCCTGTTCTGATGTATTTTGATTTTTTTTCCCTCTCGCTCTCCTTTCATGGATTTATACAATGTAACAAAGGTGACAGACCTGAAATTACAATCACCAAAAAGAAAAAAGAAAAAAAAAAAAGAACAAAATTAGAGAGAGCTGTGTTTTTTGCCCACCGTCATTGGCAGTTACAGCACAGAGGACATTGTCTGCGTTGTGGTGGGATATCATCAAAGAGGAGGTGGTGGAGGCTCCTTGCCTGTGGAGCTCTCCTTCAGGTTGAGGCTCTCCAGAGCCACGTCTAAAGGCATGATGTCCACGCAGCCCATGGCGCCGAAGTCAGCAAAGTCTCGCCTTTCATCCTCGTCGGAAGACGAGCTCTCTTCTCGCATTAGTGTGGACAGCAGCAGCTCCTGCACGAACAGGCTGCGGTCCGCGCGCTCGCTCTCCAGCGCCTGCCGTTCTGCCTCGGACATTTTCGGCTCGTTCAACCTGGTGGAATTAGATGGACAAATACTAAACTAGAAATCTAGAAAATCTATTTTAGTCTATTTGATTTCACTTTTCAGAATTCCGTTTTTAATGGTTTAATTACATACAAATAGCCAAATATTGTGTCTAATTAATTCATAAAATTTCAACAATTACAATTTTAATGATACAGGGCCCTATAAAATGTTTCACCTTTTCAGAAATTCTAGTTTTTCTGGATTTTGTGTTTTATGGTTGTTACTACATTAATTATGAAAAATGCTAATAATCAAATGAATGCATAAAACTTTAACCATTTCATTAATCTTTTATAATGTAATAAAATTACAATTTAATTCCTTTTTTCATCAAAGAAAGTGCTGCACAATAAAGGTTTACTGTCTAATTGTGCTGTCATTAACAAAACATTTTGTGATATTCCTTAATGATATTTTAAATTGTACTTTTATTATTGTTGTTATTTTGAGAAGCACATATACTGTACAAAACTAAGTAATATATTTCTGTCATAATTTAAAGTGAAACCAAACTTTTATTTTGGCAGGTCATAGAAGACTTTGGGCCAGATTTACGCCAGCGCAAACCATCTTTTGGTGTTAAAAGAGTTCTGTCAGGATTTACTAAAGACGCGCAGTGAAAAATTTACGCTGAATAGCGTGGACAGTTATTTTTGTGACTCACCTTATTGAATATGCATTTGTAGGAGTTCCCCTTTCAGACGCAAAATTTATGGAACGAGAGTATTAAAATGAATCACGCAACGCGATTTACTAACATTAGCACTCGTCAAATTACTGGTATTTGTGGCATTATTTAACGCCCAAAAAAATGCATGTCTTAAAGCAGGCGGTAATTTGTGCTGCTCTTGGTAGATTGCGCTGGTCATTATGGAAATGATCTGGCTGTGTCTGTGTTCTTTAATGTGTGCATTGTCAGTAAATCACCCACAGAATTTGCCCCTCCCATCGGTGCTTTTATGGAATTGCGCTCTAACGCTAATTTGCGCTATTTAGTAAATCTGGCCCTTTGAGTTTCTGCGATAGTTTTAACAAATTAAATGCTCGTGACCTGAACTCTCAGAGCAGCTCTGGCTATGAAGTTCACATGTTCATTTTCTTGTTAAATTTGACTTATTTTAACCAAATTATGCTAAATTTGACTTATTTTATTTTTTAACCAAAAATATCAAATTATTTATTTATTTGTTTGTTTTGAATTTTCTGAAATATCCAAGTATAAATTGTAATTCAGGAACTTAAACATGATCATCATAGAGGGAGGTGTATTATTTTTTAAATAAATTAATTTAAAAAGTTTAAATTAGGGAAAAAAGTTTAAGGTACTTTTATCAGGTCATTAAAAGCGTAAAAGCTGCAACTATTATATTTACTTGTTTGGAAAAGAGCAGCTTGGCATTCTGCTAAATATCTCAAATTGTGCTATATGGGGGAAAAATAACAGAAGTCAACAGAACTGATGATGTAAGAAGAATCCCTTTAAAGGGTTAGTTCACCCAAAAATTTAAATTAGTCCATGTTTTACTCATCCTCAAGGCATCCTAGGTGTATATGACTTTCTTCTTTCAGACAAATCGAATCGGAGTTATATTAAAAAATTGACCTTGCTCTTCCAAGCTTTATAATGGCATGGGCAGGTGTTTTTGTTCAACAGTCCAAAAGCAGTCAAATAAAGTGCATCCATCCATAATAAAACATGCCTCACACGGCTCCGGGGGGTGAATGTGGTCGATGTGTTTTTGTAAGAAAAATATCCATATTTAAAGGGTTATAAACAACTTTCACTTCTTCTAACTGTCGTAGGCGAAAGCCGTTCCGGGCGGATGAAGTAGGACACGTGCGTAGCGTAAGCGCCGGTGATTAGTGACGAAAACGGAAGCGCAACAGAGAGAGAACAAAACCAAACACCGGTCACGAATTAGAAGCACAAAATGAGGATTTATAAATAAAAATGTCAGAGGATTTCGATATAAGCCAAGAGGAGACTGGTTTTCCTTTGCTAAAGTAAGGAAACTTTACTTTAATTACTTTTGGACGTTTGCTTCCTTTGCTCCTGTAAACAAACACTGGTTTGTTGCTGCGAGACTGTGTGTTTCGTTGTGAAAGCGAAACTACTTTGTTTGGCCTTCCAAAAGAGGACGAAGAGGACGACAGCCCAAGGTCGTCACATGTTGTTGCCGCAAGCCTGCCGGCCGCTCCTTCGTCGAATCCGCTGGCCGCACCGTTCTCAAGCCCACCGCCTCTGCTCACTCTAGCCCTCCGGCCGTTCCTCACTCTA